CCTTCTCCCTTCCCCTTTCTTCCCCTCCTAGACCTAGGGGTAGGGAGGGAGATGGAGAGAGCTTTCTGTTGTCTTGTTAGAGGTGGTGCGGATCCACCTGAGGACTTGAAGTTTGGGAGTACGAAGGTGGTGACCCAGGAAGTGGCTGGGTTGGTCACTTCATACTGAACTAGTTTACCATCCTTTTTAGAGCATTGCACAATAAGAAAATAATAACTTTAAATAGAATGCAGCTTTTTTTTAAACAAAGATATATGTCATTCTTAAGTCCAAATGTTAATTGATGTAAAAATGAACTGCCTGGTCACTATTGTTCTGATCCCTGGACAACAGGTTTAATCTGGGGCTACAGTTTCCCAGATGTAGAATGGTAACTGTCTAAAGCTAGAATAGAATTTAGACCTACCTGGCCTATCAGCTGCTATCAGGAATGTCTTTCTGTGTCTCTGAGGAAGCAGGGTTTTGACTGTGAACATCTGAGTGATTCTACTGGCCCACGTAGGAATATCAAAATCATTGGCTAATGGACACGGAACCACATAGAATCTTCAAAGAAGACACCCATCAACGACAAGGGCCGGGTGTCATTGTACAGGACAAACCTGTTAGGAGTTCAAGGTCAGACGATACACATCGGAACCATATACAACAAGTGGAATAGAGAGACCGCAGTTTCTTTTAATGTTTGCTTAGGTTGATAAGGCTTGTCCTGTGTGACCCTGTTTTTGGTGGGTTGAACCGTGTAGGTGTAGCAGTTACTGTTGCTGTGTAACAGACCACCACCCAGAATTCATAGCTTAAAACAACAGCCATGTATTTGCTGATAGTTCTCTGGGTTAGCAGTTTAGGCTGAGTTCAGCTTTGCATATTTCCTGCTGGTTTCACCTGGGATCATTCATGTAGCTTGAAGCATCTGGCTGCCTAGCTGGGGCCGGGTGGTTTAGGGGGCCTCACTCATGTGTTAACCCTGAGCAGGCTATAGGTCAGGGCACCTTGCCTCTCTGCGTGACCTCCCCAGCAGGCTAGCTTAAGCTCAATCATATCATGGCTTCCAGCTACAATCATCAGAAAGGGGTTCATTCCAGGCCACAAATGCTTTTCACGCCTCAGCTTGTGTCTTATTTGCTGATGTTCCTTTGGTCAAATCAATCCACATAAGTCCAGATCCAAGGAATGGAGAAATAAACTGTACCTCTTGATAGGAAGAGTAGCAAATCACATTTCAAATGGGGTGTGCATACAGGGATGGAAGGAATTGTTCTGGCCATTTTTGCAAACAACCCACCAGAGTTGGATAGGGAATTGGGGGGAGAGGATATAGGATATAGAGGATATACTCTAAAGATTTGTTTAGTGTCAACACAGTGTACAGGCTGATTCCAATGCTACGTGATGTACATAGTATGTTTGGTATTCTATATTTCAACACAACAGTAATTGAATGAGATTCAGTGGGGCTCGTACCCTCCACTTTCTCAGTGTTGAGCGTACTCTGAATCATTCGGTTAGCAGATATTTATTGGACATCATCAATAGGCCAGACACTGTTCTGTGTGACAGAGTTGGGGGAAAAGCACACATGGTTCAGTATTATGAGAGACACAAGTAACAAGAGAAATTTGCAACTTATCAGTATGGCTTTTGATTTGGCATTTGAGGCAGCAGAATTTGTTCTCTGTGCAGGAATGCCACGAAGGCAGATTCTTATCAAGAATTTAGCCACTGTGAAATTTAGTTTTAAAGAGCAACTCGGTAATGAGTTTCTCTGTTAACAGCAAATCTATATGTTTTAAAAATTATTACATTCAAGAAATTACCTTAAAAGGGAGAGAAGGGTTCAAGAAGTACTTTTCTACCTAAAGAAGCTTTTAATCGACAGTTATTAAAGGAATAACCAACGGTTATATTTTTATATCTACCAATGCAACTAATTCTAATGTACTAGTTAGAAGCTTGTTCACACAGATATTCCATCTCAAGCATCTCTCATTTACCTGCCCAGGTGGGTTGCAGTATGAAAACAACCAGGAAACCTCCTTGAGAAAGTCTTGTCATCTTTTGCAGACCAAATTAACTGGATCCTAGTGATAGAATGTTGGAAATAAATGCAAAAAAATTGCACAGGAACTGGGAGTTCTTTTTTATAGCAGGAATCTTGACCACTCTTGCCAGAATTGTGTTCTTATAGGCTGAAAATATATGTAAAAATGACTTGTTCACTTTTCCAGGTTGGGTGACTCTAAAAAAAAAAAGAGAAAAAAATCCACTTTTCCTTTGTTTTCTATTTTGTTTAATTTTCTAAAAAGATCTGGCAGTCTCCTTGAATCCCAGTGATGGCAACACTGGAAAAACTTATTGCTCTAAAAATGCTGTCTTTTGTGGGTTGTCGTTGGAAACCTGGGGACATTGGAAGTGGCTTACCCCTTGTTTCTGTCTTTCCTTTGTGAACCTTTATCTTTAAAAATTTTGTATCACATAGTTTTTTGGGTATCTTCCTCCCACCCCTACCTTCTTTCTTTATACTGTGAAAACTGAAAGGCAAACTAGAGCTGCCAAAATGAGTTATAGGTAAGTGACGTTTGCTGGTGGTGTTGCTCTGGGCATTGTGCAAAATGGCACTTCTGGTGCTGTTGGGAATTTAGAGTAGGCATGAAAAGCAAGAGAACGACAGTGCTCTGGCTTGGTGTTCAGTGAGAGGAGGTTAGCATCTGCTGACATATAGCACTGATCCTGCAGAAGGTACATTTAAATTTGACATTAAATGTAAATTTGACATTAAATGCAAATGTTGGCATTAAGTGTACTTTCTTCCAGAAAGTACATTAAAATTCACCTCTTAAATTCTGATGTTATGGCTGGGCACAGTGGCTCAAACCTGTAATCCTAGAACTTTGGGAGGCTGAGTGAGAGGGTTGCCAGAGCCCACGGGTTCAAGAACAGCCTGAGTAACTTGGTGAGTCCTCATCTCTACAAAAGATTAGCCGGACGGTAGTGCGTGCCTGTAATTCCAACTTCTTGGAAGGTTGAAGTGGAAGGATTGCCTGAGCCCAACAGGTTGATGCTGGAGTGACCGTGAGCATACCATTGTACTCCAGCCTGGGCGATGGAATGAGACTCCAACCAAAAAAAATAAAAATCTGTTGTTATAGTATCTTGGATAGGATAGGAAATTATGTTGTTTGAGCGCCAGAGGGATGACTAGCTCCAATGTTGAGTTGTGTGTGATCTGAGCCCATTTTAGAGATGAGCAGACTTGGGGAAGGGTGGCACTCAAGTGCAGGCTTGTTGGGTGTGGGTGGGTGTGGGGAGGGGGAAGGGATGCTTTGGGTTCCGTTAAGAGTGGATTGAGATAGGAGAAAAGGAAACCACAGCTCCAGGCGGAATCAGGGAGAGCATGGCTTTTGTTTACAATTGACAGTCATTGGTGATGAAAGTTCTGGAATGTATGACAGGGCTTTGCAGAGATCTTCTCCAGAACCATACATTAATCTGGAGATTTGTGTTGAAAGGTATGCGCTTTCTGTTTATCAGCACAAAATTTTTAACAGTGTTTTGAATAAACATTGTTGACCATCTGTTGTTGGAGATGCAAAGCATTCTTGAAAATTATGACATGAGTGATGAAACAGAACTAGTGTTGATTTTCTTTTAGGTAATTAATTAATTAATGGAGACATAGTCTCCCTCTGTCACCTGGAGATGAGGTACAGTGGCGTGACCATAGATCACTGTAGCCTTGAACTCCTGGACTCAAGCAATCCTCCCACCTCAGCCTACCGAGTAGCTGGGACTACAGGCATGTACAACTACACCCAGCTATTTAAAAATTTTTTTTGAAATAAAGACGGGCGCCTCGCTGTGTTGCGCAGTCTGATCTTGAACCCCTGGCCTAAAGTGATCTTCCTGCCTCATTCTCCCAAAGTTGTGAGATTACAGGGTTGAGCTACCCACGCCTGGCTGAGTGTTGATTTTAAAAGGTTGAAACTATATGACACTGAAGCTTAAGATGTTAAAATACACATAGCCGTGTACACATGGACATATTTTGTTCTTTCTTTTACAGACTTACATTGGAAGTGTGGTTATATCTGTTAACCCATACCGGTCCTTGCCCATTTACTCGCCAGAGAAAGTGGAAGATTACAGAAATAGAAATTTTTATGAACTGAGCCCTCACATGTAAGTATGGTACTAAAGCATTATGCTTCTTTTTTAATCTAGAGATGTGTAGTTGACAGATGTGTGCAGCTGTTTCTTTGAGTCTCAGGAAAATGTTTTTGTCAATTAAAAAAAAATCAGATAAAAGAATGTAGAAGTTAGTTGTCAGGCCTTATTTTACATAAAAACAAAAGACAGAATACCTCATTTGGCATTGGACTCTAAGTTCTGAACTATTTGGGTTCAGTATGTAAAATATTTTCTGTTTGAAATCCTGTGTGAGTAGCAGCTGCTGCTAATTATTTTCGCAAATAAAACAGGAATGTACATTGTTTATTTTTACAGAAAGCCCAAGCAGTGATTTCATAGTCTTGTTAGGCTGAGAAAAATCCCAAGTGTTGGGGTGTGTGGCGGTGTTTGGTAAAGGACTAAACAGTACCTCCAGTTCAGTTTTTGTAGACATCATTCACCTGATATGTGTGACAGGCCAGTGAGTTCACCTTCCCTTCACTTGTTTGATTTTCCTGAGGAAGGTCATTTGCAAATCATTCTTTCACAGGTTTCGTATACTTCCTTTGTCCGCTCTTTCAGAGTTCTTTGTGATATGATGAAGAGATACAAAAATGATTCTGTCATTTTATACATTAGAATTTTGTTTTCTTGTCTGAATGACTGGACAATAATAACACTGGGAATGTTTTCTTAGCTTTGGTTGATCAGTGGCCGAAGTGGGTTATCACATGCTAGAACTATTGATTCCTCGAGTAAAAAGTCTGAAAAAGAAAAAAAAGTTGGGAGGGTACTGCCCAGGAATTAGTGTAAACAACACCTCGAAGTTTTCATTTCTCAAGTTATGTTACATTTTCTGATGCCTAAGAGGAATCTGTTCACTGTTTACATTATCCTCAAGTTCACTGTTGAGTCTAGAGAGAAGGAAAGAGAAAGATGCTGAGTTTCTTCAAGTCCTGTAGAGTTGAGAGTCCCAGACGTCTCCACTGGCTACTTAGGCAGGAATGTTTTCTGATCCCCCTCCGCCATGGACCTGAATGTGTGTTACCAAAATTCATGTTGTCAGCCGCTTCTAGTGACCCATGGTGTTTTGCAGAGGGCACTGATGAAGGCCACATAATGCTTTTTATATGATAAACTGCTGAATGCATATTGAGAATCTTTGGGAACTAAGACTGAACTATGGAGGGGACTGTCAAATGCAAAAAAAGTACCTTGGAAAGTCTCAAGCGATTGACAAGGCAGCGTTATCTGTCGTTATTTCCATTATTATTACTGAGCAATAGCATGGGCCTCTTTCTCTGAAGACAGAGGATGTGCTGAAAACAACTCCAAATCGTCAGGAAATGTATATTGCATTGTAAATATCGTATGGGGAAATGTTTGGAAAATGTCTTATCTGTAGAAAGGATTAATTGGTCGTTGGAATACTGGTGGAGGGGGGATGACTTTTGAAAAACGGTTAAGTTGCCAACTTGCAGTCACTTCTGGAGTTCAGACATTTTCAGAGACTTTAGCAAAAGCATTCGTTCTCAAGATGGGACAATTTTCCCCACTCCCCAGGGACATTTAACAACTTTGGAGACATTTTTGGTTGTCACAGCTGGGTGCAGGAGGGTTCTCCGAGTGGGTGGTGCAGGGGTGCTGCTTCATGGTAGCCCCCGCAGTGAAGAGTCACCTGCAGACAGCGTCAGCCGTGCCCCCTTGAGAGACTGGAACCAAAGTCAAAGAACTGGAGAAAGTCCTGGTTGTGCCTGGCAGAAAAGGATTTTCTCTGTGTGACTAAAGCTCAGCTTTATTAATTTTTGATAGAAATTAAAATCTACTCAATAAGGAAATCTGTATGCCACTGTCCTGGTGTTTATTTTTGTTTCTCTTGATAATGCAGCACAAAGTGGCACATTTGGGCCACTTGGAACTAAAGACAATTTATTATTTAGATTTGTGCAAATAGTTATTAAAAGTGAAACACTACATATTTTACCAATCAGGCAGTTTCTCATTATTCAGTTTTCTTCTAGAAGTAATTTTGCAAGTGACTTTGTTTCATTTTACCTCAAGAAAAGTAAAGTCTGGAATTTGTTTCATTAAGTTATTCCTATAATTAAGCCCTTGCAAAGAAATCCTTGTATTTGATACCTGAAGATTTATTTTAAATTGTAGACCTTAAAGCCCTGCTTCTCCAAGTGTGGTGCTTGACCATCTGTGTCAGAATTTCCCAGGGGCTTATGAAAAATCTGGTTTCTTGGTTCTTACATCTGACAAGCTAGGAATCCAACATTTTTCACAAGCCTTTTGGGTGATTCTTAGGCACATATAAGTTTGGGAACGTGTTATCTTAGATCTGTATTTACAGATGTTTTCCTTTCCTTTCTTAACTGCTCACTATAAATCGTGATTTTAAAAAATAATAATAGTAGTAATAATAATCATAGCTGTATTTACTGGGTGCTTTCTATGTATACTTTACTCATATTGGATCTCATTTCATTCTCAGAATAATCCCATGAGGTAGGCATAGTTGCAGACGGGGGGAATTGTCACAGAAAGGTCAAGAAACTTATCTGAAGCCAAACAGCTGCTGGAAGCGGAGCTGGGGTATGAATACAGCCACCTGCGCCCCTCTCAGAGGGACGTGGGTTCACCACGTTCCCGGCGGACCCTCTTCCTAGGCCACTTTCATCCCACATCCCAGGCCCGCTAGATAAGCTTTACTGTGCCTCAGTTTACCACCAGCAACTGTCCCGTATGCCGTTTTTCCATTTGCAGCTGCAATGCCCGCTCTGAGGATGTTTAAATACACAATGTATGGACAGAAAATGTTTAGATGTCTATTCTAGAACACAGACGTTCATGCTGCAGAATGTCATACTCATCCTTGCCTCCGAAAGACTCCTGTAGGAGCCAACATGGCCCTGCCACTCTTGCTCATCCCTTCACTCCCACGGAGGACCACCACCCCCAGCCATAACAGACTGAATGGAGTGCAGGGTCCAGTTTTATCCAGTGCAGCTGACGTTGCCCAATTCCTGCCACAGCCTCCCCTTCCACATCCTGCTTTGTTCTCCTTCAGGCCTCGCCTGCATCCCACGCCCTCCCACCATCGTGCCTTCTGCCTCGAATGCTTTTCCCTCCCTCTCCCTCCAAGCAACTCCTGTTCTTTCATCAGCTCTCAGGTGGCCCAAGACCTCCTCAGGGAAGAACCTGCCCCGCCCACTGCCTGCTGAGGCCAGGTCTCTCGCTCTTGACATAGTTATAGTTTAACATTTGTTTAAGGGATTGTTGGATACTGGGTAATTTATAAAGGAAAGAGGTCTGTTTCAGCTCATGGTTCTCATGGCTCCAGAATCTGCTTCAGGTGAGGCCTTACCATGGTAGAAGGGGCAGGGAAGCAGGCATGTTGCATGGCCAGAGAGGAGGCAAGAGAGAGACAGAGGTGCCAGGTTCTGCTAAAGAGCCAACTCTTGCTTGTACTGATAGAGAAATCACTCACCCTGAGAACAGCAACACACTCTTCCTGAGGAATCTGCTCCCAGGACCACGCACCTCCCACCAGTACCCTCCTCCAACACTGGGATCCCATTTCAACATATGATTTAGAGAGCACAGCCTGCCAGACCCTATCAGTTAGGGTGAAGTGAAAGTATATGGAGCAGGACTTGGGTTTGAGTCCCAGTTCTTCCATTTACAAGCTATGTAATCCTGAGCAAATTTCTTGAAAGAAACTTCAGCTCAGGGAAATTAAGTAATTTGCTCTGCTCATTGGAAAAATATTTATTAGCTCACAGGAATTTTCTGAGGTATAAATATGTAGTTGGCATTTAGATAATGTAGTCACCTGATAAAGTGCTTAGTGTGGAATCTACCTTCCTCCACTGAGGAAGCACTTCCTCCAACAGGAGCTCTGCTGCTGTTAGCAGTGATCATTACACTAATTGCCGGATTAATATGGTTTGGGGCACTTTAGGACCATTCTCTTAGGGCCTCTCTCACTGCTTTGTCGGTGGTGGAATGTTTCCTACTTCCTTTAATGCATTTTCTTGCATGATTCTTTGTGAATGTCCATCTTTGATAGTACCTTGAATCAGGGTCGGTGCTTATGGGTTTTCCTAATTAAAAAGTAAAATCTCAGCCTTGGCTGAGTGTGGTGGCTCACGCCTGTAATCCCAGCACTTTGGGAGGCCAAGGCGGGAGGATCGCTTGAGCCCAAGAGTTCAAGACCAGCGTGGGCAACATACCAAGACCTCATCTCTACAAAAAAATAAAAAGAATTAGCCAGGCATTGTGTACACTTGTAGTCCCGGCCACACAGTAGGCTGAGGTGGGAGGATTGCCTGAGCTGAGGAGGTCAAGGCTGCAGTGAGCCATGATCCTGCCACCATACTCTAGCCTAGGCAACGGAGTGAGACGCCAACTAAAAAAGCCTAAAAACAAAAACTCAGCCTGGCATTCTCAAATAGGAAGTTTGTGATAGAAGTGAGGTGACTTTAACATTTGAGGCATCCTAACTGTAAATATTTCAGGAATTGGGTTCCAATTTGAATGGAAGACAACTCAAAGCAGCTGCTCAGACTATAGACTTTGAAAACTTTGTCAATTTTCCCACATTACATTTGGAAATTTGAAAAAAAATTTTTTTCCCTTAGAGACAGAGTCTCACTATTTTGCCCAGGTTGGTCTCGAACTCCTGGGGACAGTTGATCCTCCTACCTCCTAAGTAGCTGGCATTGTAGGTGTGTGTCACCATGCCCAGTGTATATTTGGAATTTAATTTGAGCTATGATCTTTTTTTTTTTAAAGTTAGAGTCTCACTCTGTCACCCAGACTGGAGTGCAGTGGCACGCTCACGGCCCCCACATCCTCGACCTGATGGGCTCAGGTGATCCTTCTGCCTCAGCCTTCCAAGTAGCTGGAACTACAGGAATGCACCACACCTGGCTAATTTTTTTGATTTATTGTAGAGACGAGGTCTCACCAAGTTGCTCAGGCTGTTCTCAAACCCATGGGCTCAG